GTTCAAAAACAAAGTTTCTTGTACTGTTCTTGTAACTTTCTGTTGTTTAAAATCATTCCAATATAAAAATATCTTTAGCATTAAAAAGACAATTGTAGTGGCTGGCCCCGTGGTGTAGTGGTTGAGTTTGCATGCTCCACTTTCACGGCCCGGGTTCGCAGGTTCGGATCTCGAGAGTGGACCTACATCACTCATCAGCCATGTTGTGGCAGCAACCCACATACAGAACAGAGGAAGATGGGCACAGATGTTAGCTCAGGGCTAAACTTCCTCAAGCAAAAAAAGAGGAAGATTGGCAACAGATGTTAGCTCAGGGTGAATCTTCCTCAGGAAAAAAAAAAAAAATTGCAGCACTGTACCCACCTGGCTTAAGTGTCAGACAAGCTTGATTCTCGATGTTCTTAGTGTTCTATGTTAATCTGTATGTGATTATAGTTTAGCTCTTCAGCTATTATTATATTAAGTATCATTTTTCCACATTTTTGCTGACCCATAATTTAACTATTTTACTCAGACAATAAATATTAGTTACATTTCTAGGGAGGCAGTAGTGGGCTCTGGTATCAGCTGAGTGGGTTGAAACCCTGCTGCCATCACTTGCTAGCAAATTGGGATTGTGGGATCTTAGGCAAATTATTTAACATCTCTATGTCTCAGTTCCCCCATCTGTGAAATGTGGATAACACCTACCTCATTGGGTTGTCATGAGAATTAAATTTGATAACCTATGCCAAACACAAACACTGAGCAGAATTTAGCCAACATACAATAAATGTTAGCTGATATGAACTAGTATTATCCTGCTGCCCACATAGTTCTATTAAGTAAAACATAAACATATTGACAGCAGTGCATACTCTTTGAGAGCATTCCTCCCTTACATAAGCTAAATTTATTTTTCAAGTATGTATCTTCTAGAGAGTTTGGAATGTGTGAGATGAGAATGTAGCTGGATGGCAGCATGCAAAATTAAAGACAGAATTCCTTATAAATAAAAGAGTGCTAACTTTAAAAAAAATAACATTGAGCCTTCCTGACCTGAGAAAAATTAATATACCATTTATAGTAATCAGCTATTGTCATAATAATGCTGTGTAACAAATAACCCCCAAAATGCATTACCTTACAACAAAAATATTTCTTCTCATGCTCACAGGTTTGCAAGTTGACTGTGGTTCATCTGATGCAAGCTACACTCAGCTGGGCAGTTATGTTTCCAGCTATGAGTTGACTGGGCTTGGCTTCAGACTGTGGCTTGGGGTCAAGTGTGCTCCATGTGTCTCTCATCCTCTTTAAACCAGTGTCTGAGAGGCATTTCTTGCCATGGCCAGTGTTAGGAGCACAAGCACCAAGTCCAATTATGCAGCACATTTAAGCCCTTTGCTCTCCTTGTGTCCACTAGCATTTCATTAACCAAATCAAGTCACTTAGTCAAGTCCAGCATCAATGAATGGGGAGGGAAGTATTCTGCCCACAGCGGGAGAAGACTGAGGTGTATAATCCATTACAGGGGACTAAAAAGTTAGGACCAATGATCCAATCTGCAAACCACTGTATTTGAATTGCCAATGCTCTGTCCGTGTCCAGAAATCTTGAGACCTTTATAAGAAACAGTAATAGTACACCAGCAGGCAGTCATTTCCGCAGTAGCCAGGATGGATTAGCTCTGATTTACTTCCCATTTCTCTTCCCATCCCCATGCACAGTTCACAAAGGGAACTACAAATATCAGGGTAGCCATTTGTGGCCATGGCATTGGGGTTCCACCCTCGTGAAAGTCTTCTATGTAGAGCTAAACATGGGCTGCATTCTTCCTATTATGCAACCAACGCTGCGTTGCTTCCACTTCCATGAACTTGCTTTACAGCAGGAATCTCTTATTTTTATTTCTACGAAATTCCTGAAACATCCTTTCATTATAGTACATGCTCAATAAATATTGATTGAAACAGTGTGGGGCAGGGCACTAACACGGGAAAGAAAAATGATGCAACCACTAGAATTCTCACAGATTACTGCGATTTTTGGCACAGGAAAGTAAAGTATTATGTGACATTCAACATGAAAGCTATGGAAATTTATTATCTGAAATAAATATGTGATCCTAAAGGTGTATTAACTAAGAGAAGTTAGCTTCTGTGTGACATTTTTTAAGCTTACAAAATAGCCTGTCACTTCCCTGTATTTCTTCCCATTTATTGTAAGTCTTTTAAATCTCTTCTAAAAACCACAAGTTTACATTCCCCACTCTACATAACTTTTTATTGCTTGTGTGCTTCCTGTGAAGATAGCTAGACAGACAACACTGATGAAAGGAAAGCTTGTCCTTATCAAATACTTAGCGGTAACTGTGTAATGGGATTTTTTTTCATACCAGTGGAAACCCACTATTTCACCTAAGAACTCAATCATTTTGAGGCATTTTAAATGGATGGAAAGTTATAAGCTAGCCAAAATGTTCTTCTAAAAGAGTGAAATGAATGCTAATCTAACTGTCCGAGAATGCATAGGCTGGGCTTTGAAACAAGACCTCTACGCTGGTTCCCCCTGCTGGATTTGAGGATGCGCTGTTTGGAAATTGATGAAAGCAAAATTCCTAAACCTTTTATTTGAGGGCATGTTACTCAAATGGCAAAGCCAGCATTCTTTTAGAATGCATTTACTCCATGATAAACATGCCAAGTGTTTCCTGAGTTTGCTTCCTGAGAGCAGAAATGCTGCAACTAGAACACTGTGCAGCCAAGACTCAAAGTGGGAAACACAAGCCTGCCGCTGGGGTGGCTGCGTGAGGGAGTGAGATGGCCTGCACGCGGATGAGGGTAAAACCCCAGTAGCAGTAGATTAGGAAAACAGCCAGACTGGTTTTTATTATTATAAAGCTGGACTTGGGGGGTCTGACCATGAATTTCCTTTTCATGCATTGGAACTGCTGGAGGCAATCCCTCACCTTCCTGTGACTTGTTTCTCATTCCTTCTTATCTTCCTTTCTTCACAAGAAAGCTTTTTACCCCCACTCCGTAGGAGGTGTGGCAACCAGACTAATTTTACAGGCAGCCTGTCACTGCTGACTTCAAGCCTATTGTGAAATCTGTGTGAAAAGATCTGTCTGTGGGGAGAGACAGAAAAGCTGGCAGATTTTTTCTGCTTGACTCTGAGTCCATTTGATGGGAGGAAGGGGGGGAAATACTGATTTATGTTTTTGACAATTACTCCTACACCAACTTAGCCTGGTTAAGGGAGCAGGGGCAGCAGTGATGGCTATTTCCTTCCTAAAGCAAAAGCCACTGTTGTTGCCCACTCGGAGAACCAGAACAGAGAAAATGTCAGAGCATCATGTGGTTCTTGTAAATATGCCCTTTAGAACATTGGATTTAGGTAGCTACAGAGCTGGCCCAGGTTCTCATATTAAAAATTATACTGTGTCCCCTCTGACAAATGGTACTGTGCTGGACAGAGGGGATTCTATATATACTGATGTATTCATTGATGGCATTCCTTCCCCACTTCAGGGTGTCACTCTCATTTATTTATTATTACTTTTTTGGCATTCTATTATAAGCTTTTTCTTTCATTTAGGTCAATTCCAAATGTTTTCTCATCTGCAACTCTCTCCAATATGTTATTTTTCAGAGCCACTTGGTGAAATGTTTCTTCATTGCTTCTGAGGCTCTTGTTTTAGTTCTAGGAGGATTCCCCACCCTCTTGCCTCTGGAGTAAGAGCTGGTAGTAGTAGCAGATGGGGGACCAAAGCACTCAAGCAAAACAAGGTTAAGTGATCTGAGCCTGGTGGTGGGTCAGGAATTTTTAAAGGGCGATTCTCCTGCTCCTTGCAGCATTGGCTGAGGTCATCATTTGGCTGCATTCAGCTGGCAGCTGGGCTGGGTTGGCAGGAGTGAGAAGGCTTTACCCACGTGTCTGGCCCCTCGGTGCTCTGCCACGTGGCCTTTCTATCTCTCCACGTGCCTCTCTCCATTTGGTAGGCTAGCCTGAGCATGGTGGCTGGCTTCCCAGAGGGAGAAAGTGGAAACTGCTAGTCCTCTGAGGCCTTGGCTTGGAGGGCCCAAAACGTCACTTCTACATTTCACTAGTCTAAACAAGTCACAGAACCAGTCTGTATTCAAGGAGAAGAGAGATTCCACTTTTTGAGAGACAAAGGATCTGTGGCCATCTTTAACCTACAGTAATATATGCTGGTAACTTCTGCTGCTTTGTTCTCTGTACTTTAACTACACGTTTTATATTTTGTTTCTGCGTCTTGATACAAATTTATTGCTTTTTGTTTCAAACAAAAAGAGATTTGGAAAACCTGCCAGCAATGAGATATAAAATCATGCCTTTATTTGCCTTTGAAAAGTTTATTTTTTCTACACATAAACCCATAGATATACATTATACATTTTAAGCCAAAAGAAAATTTTAGCTAGTTTCTAGTATATAGCCACCATTGCACCTACCCAGTTATTTATTTTTCAAGGAGTTATGTACTATGGCATAAACTTGACCAGCATAATCTGTTCAAGACAAAATATTTCATAGCACAGATATGTTGGACTGTCATGTGTAAGTTAAATAAAAATAGATACTTTTTGCAACATATATCCAACAGGAAAATAAAGGGCATAGAACTTAATCAACCAAGTGTCCTTACACAGTGCATATTGCTTGAGTCAAGGGAGAAAAGCAGATTGGAATTGAAATCTGTATTGCATTTGGGGAAATGCTGTGCAAGGAGAGATGTTACTAGGACTGCTGAGTGAATTTCGTTTACTGCAGTTCAACATTTCATCAAGCAAATCATGTGAGCAGGGACGAGTATAAATGCACCTATTTATGTAGGTAATTTTTCTGTTTCACGCTTCTGATTCATCTCTCTGCCTTGCTTTATGGGGAGTCATGCTACACTGGTTACAATTAATTTCAGTGCTGCATATTAGCCATAAAGAGATATTTCATAAATTGACTTTGATGTATTTTTTTTTCCTCTGTGGTTTTTTTGAAAGACGAGAACGGTCCAGAGGAAAAACAAAGTGTGGAAGAAATGGAAGGGCAGAGCCAAGAAGCAGGTGGGCTCAGATTTCCTTTGAGGAGTCTCCTAAGCCTCATCCGCAGAGGCGAACAATGACTTTACTCACTGCTATTTTCTGAAAATTTCTGAATTTTCTTTTCGCCGGGGTAACTTCGTGTTCATTCAGGTTTTCCTCAGGAAACCACCAACTCTGTTATGAGTGACAGGGCTTCCAATCAGAGGGGTACATTCCCACGTCTCGTTCACGAGTTCCTTTTTTCTTCCATGCAATGACAGTTTGCTCAGCAATGCTCTGAGAGGCACAGGCAGAGGCTGCAAGTGCCAAGGCAGAGATTGGCTGACTTAGGGTAGGTCAAAATTAGCAGATTCCATTTGGAAAAAGATGAAATGAAAATGTTTAAAGAAAATAAATAAGAGGCTTTCCCTTCACAATTGGTAGAGTGTTCTTGACTGGTTCACACTACATTTTGAGTGCTTCTGGTTATTTCTTTGCTTGTCGTAGGAGGTGGTGTCACAGAGCCTGACGACCCCATACACAGAGCTAATGTGAGATCCACAGCCTTCCTGACATCTCCTCTGTTCACTAAAGAACAGACATGTCAATTGAATGTTTATAGATTCTCTACTATAGATTATAAATCGACCATTTTTAAATAAAATAGCACTTAAGACTCAAGAGAGATTATCATCACCTTCAATTTATCATCTCTTCCTACCCATTTTTGTACTCAAGCATGCTCTCCTTTAAAAGAATGATAGGCACAATTATGCAGTTATCAATATAACCACCAAAATAAAAATATCCTTCTTCTCTTTAGTTTCCAAGTCATTCTCCCAGTTCTAATGAATCCCACGGAGTAGAATTTTTTAAATAGTGGGCTCTGCCTAGTGTGTGCCAGGTATGTCCTAGGCCATATGCTGAACTCTTGGAAATAAACCAGGTGGTGGGATAAGTTTTTCACTGAACACTTCCTACAGTAACCTTGGAACTTTTGCTAGAGAACTGGAAGCTTTTATTATTAACCTGGAAGATGGAATTGAAGAAGGCCAATCAGAGAAAGCGCTGAAGCAAGGCAGCAAGGACCTTGTGTACCTGCCACTGGGTCAGCCGGCTCCCTTTGCTGAAACGCAGTCCTTGCGATGAAATGAATTTCTGATACAGCAAACTGTTATCCACGCCCTCCCCCCGGCTCCCGACCCACACATCATTATGCTCTACGGAAGATGAGTCTTATGTGAAAAGCTGTCACTGTTTTTACTGTTTGGGGCTGACAAGTATTAGTCAACTAACCGCTAACAGCTGAGGCCATTCTCTGAATGCCAAGGTTTCACAGGTTTTATTCACCCACTGCTCCGTCCCAAACTATCTTTACTGACAGAGATTTTTCCCACTAATGTTCATACACACAAATGCACACACGCACACCCACATATACACGCACACACATTTGCCTATGTTTTATTTATTCATCCTTTTTCCCTTAATCAGTTGAAAACAGGCAGTTTCTTTTTGGATTTGGGATCATCGTGCCTCTTAGCAGAGAGGGGTAGAGTGTAAGCCCTCTCCACCACCTCTTGGATCGACAGCGTTATCCCCACAATATGGGTGCCTCTCAATGGAAAGCAGAGACCTAAATGCACGCTGGAGGAGCTCCTCTCGCTCTTCCAAGGGAGCCCGCTGGCTGGCAAGGAGGCCAATGGCAGGATTCGTCTATAATCCTGGCTGGTGTGAACGTACATTATGTCCACTCTGCTCATTTAATCGCCTCTCTAATCCAAGATGCAGTTCTGTTTATTAAGGCCTCTTTGCTATGCTGTTATTCTTCCGTAATAAATATACCTTCTTTCCATTCCATATAATTTCCAGCTTCGATTTTGATTATACAACTCTGCAGGCCTCTTCCACATCATGAAAAAAAAAACAATCTCAAACCAGCATAATCCAGTTTTGACTACTGTCATGATCAAATCAAATCAAAGTTGTAGATAATATTCCTCAGATAGTTATTCAACAAATACATACCCAGGCCTTACTTTGACCTGGGCACTGTTGCGGGCACTGGGATACAGCAGTAAACAATAAAGACAATATCTCTGCTTCCTTGAAGCATATATTCTGATGGGGGGGGAATCCAAAAATAAACAATAAACAAAAATGTATAAGATACTAATAAATTCCTTGTAGAGAAATGAGGGAAGGTAGAAGGAATGCAGAGAAGGCAACTTTCCGTTGGCTGGATTTGGGGACAACTCCCTGAGGAAGCAGTAATTGAAATGAGATCTAAATGATGAGATGGTGGAGGAGCATTCAGATGGAGAGAACAGATAATGCAAATGCCTCTAGGCCAAGGTGGCCTTAGCCTGTTGGGGAAAGAAGGTCCGAGTGGCTGGAGCATAGTGTACTGGGCGGAACATGGTGTGAGATTTGGTAAGAGATCGTAGAAGCAGATTATGTCTGACTGTATAAGATTTGATTTTATTAGAACTACAAAGAGAAACCAATTTTTTAAGCAGTGGAGAGACATAATCTATATTTTAATAAGCTCACTTTGCCTGTGAGTAAAAATGAATCAAAAGAGCCAGAGTAAGACCAGTTGGAAGGCTGTAGCAGGAAAGCAATGGTGGTGGTTTCTGGAAATGGAGACAAAATGGACTGATTTCTGTTAAGTTCCAGAGATAGAGATAGCAGGATATGCTGATGGATTGGGTGTGGGGTATGGGAGAAAGAGGAATCCAGGATAAATCCTAGGTTTTTAGCCTCAGTAACTACAGGGATGATGGTGCCACTTAGCAATATATGGAAGACTGGCCACAGGGCACAGTTTTGTTGAGAAAGTTAATAGTTCAGTTTTGGATTGTAAATTTGAGGGGACTCTTAGCTGTACAGGATGTCAAAAAGCCAGTTAGATATATGAGTCTGGATTTCTAGGGAGAGGCGTGGACCAGAGATATATGTTTGAGAGTCACTGGCATATAAATGATATTTAAAACCATGGGACTGGATGAGATTCACTAGAGAGAACATGTAAATAAAGAGAACAACGGGGCCTGGGACACCACGACATCCAGATATGTGGCAATAGAGGAGAAGGAGCAGCCACAACCAGAAAGCCTTTCAGAAAGAACAGAGTAAAGACTCTGTGAAACGCTACTGAGAAGTGAAGTAAGAGAAGAGAAGAGAAATGACTGCTGGACTGGGCAAAAGGAAGTCAGGGGCACCTTTGATAAGAGAATTCTTGGAGGAGTATTGAAGCCAGTTGGAGTGAGTTATGCAGAGAATACAAAGTGAGGAAGTGGAGAAGAATAACAGAGACTGCTTTTCTAGGGAGTTTTGCTGAGAAGGGAAGTAGAGAAATGGGAAGATGTGACATCAAGGGAAGCTTAATAGTTTGTTCTTTTTTTTCAAATGGAAGATTGTCACCTAACAAAAGAAAGTGATTCATCATCTCCAATTATCCTCCTACTGAAAATTTTACTCTCTCTTCCAATAGAGACATAACCTAAAAGTAATAGTCATATACATTATGTACAAAAGTGTGCTAGAAAATATAAGATTTGCCTTTACATGTGTGTTAGTTGTCATGCATGTATGAGTTATCTTTAGTTCCATGACCCTGTTACTGCATGAAAAAAATATACATTTCTTTTCCAATTGTCAAGTGTTAACCATTCCAAATGCTTTTGATAACGTTTTGCATCTTAAATTTACTATTTTAATGTTAGTAAGTTAATTTTCTATTATCCTGGAGGCCAACATGAGTGGAGTCACTGTGGTGCCAATGATACTGAGAGGAAAGATCAACTCCCATGAGGTTGATTGCTGTTATAAGGGAGACAGGGACCTCCAAGTTCCTTCGTCCTCGCTCTGTGCTTGGGTGATGTGAAATTTCCAAATGGCTTTTGGTGCTTTCCTACAAATGGTCCCCTTCTCCTGGGCCTCTGCACTGGCAGCCATCAGACATGCTCCCTGCAGTTTGACAGCCTGGCATAAAGGAGCAGAAGTGTAGTGCTAAGAAAAACCAAACTTTAAAAGCACTTAGTAGAAATTTGCAAGGATATACTTTCTTCCACAATCTGTTACTAAGAAGAATAATGTACTATTCTTCTAGAGGTGAGGAAGAAGGAAAATGCCAAAGTATAATAGTACCAACAATTAGTATTCTTCACCAAAAAATAACATGTAGTTCCTTGAACTCTGTCTTAACTGAAGGCTTCCATTAATTATAATTATTATAAAATTATATTAATTATGAAAGAGAGCCAAAGACCCATTTAGTATATTAGAGCATGAAACAGGCTCATCCTTCCTTTGGTGGAGTGGGGAGGGAGGTGTGGCAGGTAGGGAAGCCCCAGCTTGACAGTATTAACTCTGAGGCAGTATTGCTCTTTCTGCTTTACAGATGGTGTCAACGCTCCTACTATGCCCAGCCCTGCTTCAGAAGAGGCAGTTGAAGTCTGTAAAGATGAAGGTATGGGGCCACTTACTACAACTAAAAATCACAAACTCTTAGAAGACCATCTGGGTTTTGTTTACACGGAAAAATAAAGTAGTGAGCAAATCTAATTCTTTTTAAGCATCTCTATTCCTACACAATCAAATATCCCACCCACTCTGTTTTATTCCATATCTACCCTTTTCAGAATTTATATATACATTTACATTTGTTCCTCTGAAAAGTAACTGTTTATGAAACAAGAGAATGATCAGAGAAATTATGTTTAAAGAAGATGTTTATTTGAAACACTAGAATTAGGCAGTTCTGCTGTTTACAGACACTCATCAGGAATAAGTTCAAAAGAGTGGCATTTGGGAACCACCTACCAGAGAGCTTCATTATCCAGACAGAATAAGAAAGAAAAAACATTTGAAAGGCATCCTTAGAAATAAATCTTTGGCAAGAGCATCATTCCTCATGCTATGGACAGCTACTAAGAGAAAATGTTACCAATCCAAGTATCTCCAGAAGAGGAAAAAATTAAAAGAAAGTTTATTTAGGTTCTAGGAGAAAATTTGAGGGAGAAATAGTGGGGACATTCATGTGCGGATAATAGAGTTTAAAAAGTAGGTATTATCCTAAGGAAAATAAAATAGTCCTTTCTTTCCTTTTACTCCCGATTAACTGTCCCCCACACAAAAAGGTAGTATTATTTTATATCTGTCATTGGTAACTACTAAAAACCTTTCTGTGATTGGTACACTAGATTGTTGTATTTGCACAAATGGACATCTTGTAAACCATGCCATCTACCTGGAAGTTTTGGATAAATATGCTGAATGCGTGTCTTCAGTTTGGAGTGATGAAAATAGATCCACGCTTGACATTGGTACTAGCTATTCCTTGAATCAGTGTTGAAAAAATCGAAGTCGTTTTAAAATTTTAATACTTAGCTGTTTACATCACTCATTTCATTTCGTGTTGCCTGGTAAATGGATTTTTCTAAACAAGGTCTCCTTGTGTACTGAGGGTAGTTACCAAGGTTGTGAGCTCTGGGGCCAGATGGTTGAGGCTTAAATCCTCTATCTGCCACTCAAAATGTATGTAACCTTTGACAAGTAATTCAAGGAATTAACAAGTAATTAACTTCTTTGTGCTTCAGTTTTCTCCTCTGTAGAATGGGGAGAATAATAGCATTTACCTCACAAAATACAATAATACATGCCAATTGCTCAAACTGTTAACCTGGCACCTGTGCAGAATGGACCTCCCAGAAGACAGACTCCACGATGGAGATTAGAGAGCAGACGTTTATTAGGGAGAGCTCTTGGAATCAACACCTGTGAGAGGAAAAAGAAGGATGCAGAACTGGGTAAAGGGAGAAGTTGAACTGTGAGGCATTCTCAACAGAAGCCACAGCTGGTCTGAAGATAGCATGACCCTTCTGAGAGTCCCAGTTAGGATGAAAATCTTGGGCAATTAAAACCTCCCATTGATAGGCACCTGCCACTGGCTGCTTTGGGAAGGAGGTGTGATATTGGGGGAGGCAATTCTCTTCCATTGAGGTAATCCTGGAAGCTTGCGATGGATGAGGGCTGCCTGCAGAAGGAGGATAAGTTCTTCATTCCCAAAGGGGGATCTGAGTGGCCCAACACAACATCCACCATACTGCTATTTTTGTGGTCCTTTTCTTGTTCTTTGCCACTTTTTAAATGAATCCTTTGGCACCTCCCTTCATACTACTCAGATATGTGTTCTGATACCCCTAGTTTTAAAACCATTTGGTATATCTAAAACTGTAAATAATGTCAGATATCCACATAATTTCTGATATGAAACTCTAAGTCATCTTAGAGAGAGAAATAACCCTGACCAAGTCAGAATGAAAAGACAGAAAATGATGTTCATTCTAAGAAAATCATTTTGGACATTTCGATCATTTAGCTTGTGATAAAAATTTTAAAATATCATGAAGTTGAATGGTGGAGTTTAGAAAACAAAAGAGATAATCTAACTTAAGTACTTCAAGCTGAGATTTTTCCTGTTGAGTTGTTTGGTTTGCAAATTTCACATCTTTATAGAAACACACTGTTTGTGATGTTTCTTGATGCTTTCAGGATCTCACACCATTAATTGCTCATGCCAGGATCAATTTCTCAGAATACTTTTAGGATTTTTTTTTTACATAAAACTTTTAACTGTGGTAACTCCAACGAGTTCTGTCACATATCACAAATGCAGTTCTCTAATAAGACTAAATGTTAAGTTTTAAGAATTTTACTGAAATAAATTGTTAATATCCATTGACCTCTTGATCTAGGGAAAGAAAAAGTGTTTTGAAATCCACATTAATATGTGATCCAGTTTCAGTTAAAAATAGAACATACAGGATATGATTTTTGCCTTTTCCTTCTGAAATGGCATGTACAGAAGACCACTATTTTTAGTTGATTATCAGTCCAAAGCCTTAGACCAAGCATCTAATACTTACAGAACTGCCATCTTGACTGATAGATACATAGCTTAGAATGAAAAAGAAATGAATTCACCATTGAAATCCTCCAAGATTGAGGTCAAGTTGAGGTGAAAAGGCAGTCATATGTGTTGAGGATTCATTTCAAGCATTCATCATTATTAGTTTCATGCAGAAATATATCTCCTTGGTGACATCTGGGCTATTTATGAGCTCTGCAGTTATAAAATCGCTTATAAAAATGCTTATTACCCTCTCCAGTTTAAGTGGCAGAACACTTTTGCTGACCAAAGGTTCTGAAGGAGCCCTTGCTCTCTTGCTTTCGTTTCCAGACTTTGATACAACCCAGTACCTTCTCCTTGAGTTTTGGAATCACCGATATTATGGACTGGCCTTTTTTTTTTCCTCTTTCCAAAATAATTCCCAAAGATTTTGAGACTTATCAGTTATTTCCAGCTTTGCTTGTTGGTTGGCTGGCTTTACATTTGTTATAACTTTGGTTCCCCCAGGAAACTAGTGTCTTGTAGAGTGCAAGGACTGAAAACAAGCAAACAAAAATGGGCTGGCTAATGTCATTTGTTTTGGGAGATTAGATTTTTTAAAAATTAAAACAGGTATGTGAAAGTTGAAGAATTTTAAGAGGAAGTATATTCTGGGGTGTCTTTTATGCCAGCGATTTTGTTCAAATGTTCTAGACGTATTTCCTACTGGGTACTGAGAATGGATGCTTATTGCCCATTTACCCCACATAACTGCTAACAGTGCAAGCTGCTAACAGAAGGAGGTACAATAAATTGGCTCATGGATAAGAGCTAGATTGTGAGCTACAGACAGAAGACACCTGTTCCTGATGACTCATTACAGCCCCTGGGTGGGCAGGAGTTGAATTGGGAGGATGAGATGTGAGGAGGAGGAATGCTGATGAATAATTCATCTACACAGGGGGTGCATGCTAGGGATGCAGCCCTGGGACTGAATGGAAATGAATTCAAGGTAAAGCTGAACTGAGAAGCTAGCTGTGGGTTGATAGGAGTTCTGAGGTTATTTATAAAATCAGGCATGCACTTATCTATGAAGGAATTTCTTCCTTTACTGGTAAAAATACTCTATTTATTTAATGGTGGTTTGCACTTTAAATACTTAAAAACAAACCAAGGAGTACAAATGTTAAGGCTATTTAAGCTAACAAATATAGAGGCAATCCGATGAAGGAGAGAATAAACACAGGAGTAAAATTCATGTTAGGAATATCAAGTACTCTGGTTGAAACTGCTGCAAAGTTATTACTGCTATTATTATTATTATTATTATTATTGTTATCATTATTATTTAAGCTGTAATCAATCTCCTTAATTCAAGGAGAACTCTCTGCTCTAGTTGTCTCAACACTCCTAATAGCTCATCCTCTCTCACAGCCAAGGCCAAGTCCAGGGCACCTTACTGGGGGAAAAAAGTTCTGTTTAAATATATCCTGATTCTCCTGTCTTATTATTTAATCAGGACCTAATTTGAATTTGAAGGTCAACTAGACCAAATGATATGCTCATTAATATTAAAAGCAAAATAAATTAATACTCAGGTGCAGGCACACCTGAGCTTGTATTCCTTTGGAGCTCTGTGTAAGTCACATCATTGCTGTTTGGTATTTATGAAGTGGGATGTCACCTGACAAAGGATTTCTTAACTTTTAGTCTAGTTTCAGACCTCCTGGAGGTCAAATTTCTGTAGAAAGCTAGAACAAGAATCAGCTTTGCTAAAGAGAGCAGAAGAGAAAGAATGAGGTTACCTATGAAAAAGTGGATTCAGGAGTATACAAGAAATGAGTATAAATGCTCTCAACCACTGGTCACTGTAAGCCTGGGCTGGTGACGTGGGCTCCAAATGGCTCTCTGCATTGTTTCTATTCCTTGTCTAAGTTGTTGGGGAGAAACAAAACATTGGGCACCCATGAAATTCCCCTCAGGCTTCTCCAGTCTAATTTTTCTTAGTCCTTTTCCTATTCTTTTCTTTTTCTTTTCTTTTTTTTTTTTTGGTGAGGAAGATTGGCCCTGAGCTAACATCTGTTGCTAATCTTCCTCTTTTTGCTTGAGGAATATTGTTGCTGAGCTAACGTCTGTGCCCATCTTCCTCTATTTTTTGTATGTGGGACACCACTACAGCATGGCTTGATGAGCAGTATGTAGGTCCACGCCCGGGATCAAACTTGCGAACCCTGGGCCACAGAAGTGGAGTGCACAAACTGAATCACTACGCCACCGGGCCAGCCCCTCCTTTTCCTATTCTTGGTGTCCACCACCCCCCAACTAAGCGTCCTCCCCACTACCCAGCAAAGTGGGACAAAGCTGTCCCCTGTCCTAGAGCTGCCTTGATAGAGTGTCTGGATACATTGTTACACCCCTGAGTTGTCACTCTTGAATTTTAAGAGTCTAAAGTATGGAATGAAAGCCACTGCCCTCTGGCAGATCAGTGAAGGGGAAAGAACTAAGATATATGGAGTGTCTCCTGTACTCAACACTTTACATTTATGTACAGTATATTTTTCATTTCACAAAAGGGTAAC